GGGAGAAGGACATCTAAAAGTAGCGAGCAACAAACTCGCGGCGATTTCTTAAAGCGATAGAAAAGGGTTGAAACAGGATACGATCATTGCCCGAAGAGATGGCCCCCTCGCTTAATGAACGAAGATTAATGAAGATTCCATCAAACGACTGACAGTCGCCACTCAAGAACGACTTTTAAATACAAAGTAAATAGATTGGACAAGACTGGGGCGAAAGGTCGTGCGTCTCGAGGTTAGCGATAACCATACACCTCGGATCTTTGCTGCAGAAGGGCAAGGCGCATAAATCGGATTTGTTTACACACGTGGTCCACATCAAATTTGGCAGTTGGTTAAAAGGAGCTTATTAGCAGCGTCTATCGATTAGTACAAGATGCCAGCGTCAGTTCCTGGTTTAGATCGCTGGCAGTTCGGAGTCGGTTATGAACTATGTGTGCCAAGGTCTCGGGATAAATTCATTAACCTCTTCTATTCTGCTTGATCAGGAAATTTATGCTGTCCCGCTTCGTACCCGCAGCGCAGATCGGATAAGAACCTCTTTGTCTTCACTCGGTTTGAGAAGCACACTGTTGGCTTTGTCGTATATATTACGAGCCTTACATCAAGCTGAAAGCACTTTGTTTCTACAGTAGCTAAGATGAACTGAAAGATATATCTAGTTTTAGATGCGACAGAAAGTTATTCTACACTTTCTTCCTCTTTCCATAGCCTTTTTTTTTACGCTTTCTAGAGAGCGATATAGGCGTAGATCGAATTTTAATGGGTGATATCCATGCAATCGACCTTCAGGATGGTGCGAAAGGAAACTGCTTTAGCCTTTTGTCGAGGTTGTGCAGGCGCTATCAAGCGCTTCTACGCGTTGCTGCTGCAGTAACAAATCGGCCTCTTTGACTCATTCTCCCCAATTCCCGTTTACGACTTAGGAGGGGCGAACTTGCAGCAGATGATTTCGTAATGATCGCCGCTTCGTAAATTATTTTTGGAGATGAATAAAAGAGTTTAAAATATTTTTCTAGAAATGTTTTTTTCGTTCTTCTTGTTTTTTCAAAGTGCCAGATTATCATCTGTGTAACGTTAAAACGAATTGGAAAAATTGTTTTTCTAGTTTTGCAGATGTGACGAGACACGTGTGCTGTGTCAACACGACTTATTTCAAATCCGAAACCGGAATTGGTATATCGAAAGACATTTTTACGGTTGTGTAATTTCAAAATAGCGAATTCCAATCTTTCTTCGGAGTTGCGGCACCTTCTATGGGAGGTGCCATCATGACTTAGATGTATCGCCCATACTTTCATCACATCATAGATTATTTCTGATCACGTAGGGAGGTGCGGTCGACGTAAATGTCTTTCCGATGAACTTACACTTTGTTTCAAGGTAACTTTACGCCAGATAACTCTTATCTACCAAATGGATAAAAGACTGTGGGGGCTATCGACGATTTGTAGCGGCCATCTTCGCATATGGTTCTTAAGCCAAGGTCGAGTTTTAGCAGTTCCTTGACACTCGGGGTCGGAAGTCTACAGACGAAGAGGTCAAGTGTAATGCGTAACGTACTCGGGCAGGTGACAAGCCGTATTAACCTGGGCCTCATCGATTTTTTTCGACTACCCGAGAGGGGCCTCTGTGCGTGCGATACGTGAGCGCTCGGGGTTAATTATTCTGGGAATCTCGACCTTGAAACATGGCGAAACGTGACTGTGAAGAGTCGCTTTCTTAGAACATCCCAAATTTTCGTTTCCTGGCACACCTCGTCCACACTCTCTTCCACCCAGGCCTCGCTATCCTCGGGCATGCTGCCAGAGAGAGTAAAGCTATCCAAGCTAAACTTTCTCGAAACGCGAATAAAATCAGTGGTTGCGGGTATGTCAGATTATAGTGACGCTATGAATAGGTGGTGGAAAAACAAACTGGAACAAGGGCATATTGTCCAAAAAAAGGCCTTGGGATATTTTAAATCCTATTCTGTCAATGTCAGTACTGTATGTTTGCCTTCAGGTAATGCCCATTGAAAAGTGCTTCCTTAATGCCATCTAGTATCAAAAAGTATCATAAAAATACAAAGTATAAATATATTAACCAATCTGTATATCTGATCTGTTCACCCAACTCCCCATATTTTTTATCTGTATCGACACAGTTACGAATTATACACTAGATTATTTTATAAGAGTGCGCTCTGTTATCGACAGTATCTATATATCATTATAGACACTCCATCGCTCACATTTTATAAATTATAAAGCGGTGAAGTAACAGGCAACGAAACAGTCTCATCTATGTGCCAAATCCTGACTGCTTAACCTTCTACACACCGTATTTAGCGAGCTGCAAACCTAGTTAACTATTTATTACACACTAATTAAAACGATACTGGCACAAAATCGATAAACTTGTAATCATTTATCAAATAACAAATATCGTAAATTAATTTTGTATCCATTATTAAGCCATAAACTGCAACAAACATTATTGACAAACACAATCAATACGGCAATAAATTTCACTTTAAAGTTTGCCCATGATAATAAACAGTAAACATCATTAATTTCTTCATTTGTTTGTTTTTTTAAAAGCTGTTTTGATGATTTTCTTCCAAGTTAGTTGTTATTATTTTTTTCCTCTCTATTTTTATTGATGTAGAAGTAAAATTGAGTTAATTGTTAGTTAAATTTATATAGAGTTGATGCACCCCACGCTGTCTCCAGAAAAGTTTGAAATCGGGAAAGCGTTACACAGTTATTTAACGCTAAATTTATCAAAATCTTGGCATTCACACCAACTAGGTACGAGTATAGAAAGGAAAAAAAGTGTGGAAGAGTCCACATGATTTGTGTGACATACCGTTGAAACTGTCCTTGAGCTTGAAACCATCCTGCTAAATTCAGTCGTCCTTCGTTGTACACTCGATCTGCTTTGCTCCACCCAAACACTCGGGTCCAAGGGTCACTAGCTGTCTGTACATTTTCAACTGGCGAGCTAATTTAATGGACAGATTAGCGAATCATTTAGCAATATAGTTGTTTTACGAACACTAACGGGATTATAAACTCTCGCTGCAACCTTGGAATGTTTGAAGATGCCGCATTTTAGAAGGTTCCTCAAGCGGTAAAGCTTATCTATAAGGAATCATCTGGGTCTTTAGAAAGAGCTTCCATGTTTGTCATGACCTGTGGAGAAACTAGAGACATACTTAAGCCCTTTGTTCCCTGTTAGAATGTTTAAAAATTCCTTTCGTGACTCTTCTCCTATAACTTATTCAATAATGTAAGCGATTCAGCACTAGTACTCTTAGAAAGTGGAATATTTGGCAGGTTTTTTTTTCCTGGTTATAAAATTATGTTCGTTATAAAAGCATTTGTTCTCTTACTTCTTGTAAACGTCCAAAGAGAACAATCCTATTTAGAACCACTATTGGGAGGTATTTAGTGAAAGGTGACGAATACAATTTATAGAGACGTACAGAGTTTCCTCGAGCTGTCAACTGAGAGATGGCTTCTGAATAGAGCTAATTACAGAGGAAAACACGACATCCCTGGGGGTTATGCGATTCTCACAGCTTGCTACTTGTCATTAGTTGTATTCTTTAGTAGGTGACAGTTCTACTCACGTGATTCTATAGTGTCGCCGTTCTTGACACAAAAGCCATACTGTTAAATAGAGTTATAGTTGGTGATAAATATTAATAAGTTATGTTAAATTTAATTTTGGAAAGATGACACATTGACTCCTTAGGAAAAAATAAAAAAGTTCGATCGAAAGGAGACCTCCCATAATCGCTGATTGATCGCCTTAACCTTTCTCCGTTTTTTTTTTTCGTTATCGTTTCTGATGAATGACATATTATCAGAAAGCTTACTGATTGTTAATTAAAATAGGCTAGTTTGGAGTTAAACATGTTTAACATCAATAAACGCCTTACAAAATAAATTTTTTGGAGTAATTCTTGATAATTTTGCAGAGGCTGGAGATGGAACGAAACGATTTCAGAATAGCGCGAATAACTTATGAAAAAACTTGATTATAATTAAGTAGAAAGGGTGATTATCAAATTAGATTGGCAAATGAACAGGTATTAGTAGTAATTATCGTCTAGGTTTAGAGGACTACTTAGCCACGACGTCGATAAATCGTGATTAAGGGGTGGATAGATTGAAGCCGGATTTTCTGGGGTCAAGAGTGAGCCAAGGTTGTGTCGTACTGGGAAGTAAAGAGGAACAGTAGGTATACGTCCTTGACACAGAGTAACCAGAACGAAAGAAACGCAATAATCTAGTTGATCGAGTGAAAGTTTATCATAATCGGCGAAACTCGGTGCAGTGACCGAGAGTGACACACAAGCAACCTTGCCCCCGGCATAATACAATTGTCCATCTAGTAGACGCAATGCTTAATAGTTCATTGTTTTCCTTAAACGTTCATTCCTCTTGACCGCTCAAAACAAGTTCGAGTTTTTTCAGAATTTTCTTACATTACTACGAAGTCTATTGAGGGAAAATCTCTTCCATATCCAAACCTTGACACAGTTCAGAATTAACAGGTGGTTTTCGACCTTGGCCCGTGCTGTCTTTGTTCTATAAACAGCTTTTTTGGCATGTATCGAAGTAAAGATTAGCCCACTACATGTGATTGCCAGGACCAGCGATGAGTGGTTTTTGACCTGTGCATTGAAATCCTGAGAAAGGATCGTGTGGAGAGTTTAAAAGAGGCTATTTATGTTGAAGTGTTTAGTGTTTACATACTACATCTGTCATTAAGTGTAGAGACTATCATTCACTTCCTTATTAAATTCCTAAACTTGCTATAGTGCTTTACTTGTACTTTAACACTTTGCCTGCCAATAATATATTTTCTAAAATCAAAATTAAAGTATGGAAAAAAACATTGTTTATCTTCTAGAATATTTAAATTTAAAACTAAGGTTTAACCTGTACTGTAAAACTAACATAAATATTCATTTTGTAAAATTTTAAACAGTTTTTTTTTTCCCTTTTTAGAATCATTTGACTTCACAAAATTAAATAGGACAAGGCAGAATAGACGTTTTCATAGAAGAAGAAGATCTGTATCTGTGGAAAGGCATTTAGAAGTTATGGTGGTGGCAGATAGTAAAATGGCAAATTATCACAAAAGCAATCTTAGGCATTATATTTTGACGCTGATGTCTACGGTAGGTTAAACAGAGTACAAGAAACATACAGTTTAGTTTATATAAATGTTTGTCTTGTGTAATTAAATAACAAAGAATAAATACACAACTATATATTGTTTAAATTAACTTTATTATTATGGGAAAATTCAATGCAGAATTATCACACAGAAATATTTTAAATAACCTATACACTATCATCTGATAAGATTATACATCTCTAATTTGGTTAGATATAGGCTATTAACAATTGCAATACAACAAGAACATCCTAAATATTTAAAAATATAAATTTGATAAATTGTATGGTTATGCCACTCTTCATTACTGAATGACAGTAATAACTGAGTGGAATGTTTATAATAACTTAAGTGGAGTAGATCTGTTTAGAGATGTGAATATTTTTTTCCCAAGTTTAAATAAATACATTTTTTTAAGTCAAAAAGAATTCTAATTCCATTTCTGAAATTATTGTTTAAAACATTTTCTTAAAATAAAGTTGTCTTGCTTCTTGAATTTTTTTTTTTTTTTTTATTGCAAACAAGATGACACATGACACATGATTAGTTCAAGCAGAGAAAATCCTGACACGGTGTCATTTTGTTTAAGATCAATGATGTCTTGTCTCGGTGGACAAGCTGTATATCAATCACGAATAACATCTTATTTGTATGTTAGTATCGTCGCTCTTTAAATAAAATTTAATATCAGATTTAGTTATGTCTGTTAAATTTTTCTGAAATTTATGTGGTATTCAGAGGAAAGTAGATTAAATTTGTCAACACTTTCAGTAGTCAATTAATTTAATAGTTTGTTTCAAGTTACTTAAACTCATTATCCAATTTAATTTAAAGGTTGCTCTCATTTACAAGCATCCAAGTATAGGAAATGACATTAATATTGCTGTAGTCAAGCTACTGATCATGAATGAATCTCAGGTATGCATTTTATGATATTTTTAGTAAATTTATATGGTTGTAAAAGATTAAAATTTAATATTTAAACAACTTAAGCATTCTAAACTGGTTCAAGATAACTTAAAGTAATAATTTTATGTCATTTTTTCAGGACAGAGAGATTATTTATCCAAGTGCATCAAAAACCTTGCGTAATTTTTGCAACTGGCAGCAGCTATATAATGATTATAATGATTCCAGCCCACGTCATCATGACACTGCCGTTTTGCTCACCAGGTAATATAATAATATAAATCAATGATTGCTTCCTAGTAATCAATATTCATTAATGTTAAAGATTTGAGTTTTATTAAAAATTTAGAAATATTTATTTTGTTTTTCATATTTAAAGAGAAGACTTGTGCAGGCTACCAAAAACATGTGAAACTTTAGGTAAATATTGAAATCATTAACTTTGTTTTTAAAGATAAGATACAATTTATCTTTTATAAATAAAATATGTTACTAAATTCCATTATCGTGAATGACAGACTTTGTTACTGCTTAATTTTTTGTTTAAAAAAAATGATCACTGAAAGTATTGATGCACATTTAATATTATTTATTAAAAAACAATAAAAAAAACTGTAATATTAAGTTTAGAATTTCAAATGTCAAAATCTTTAGCTACAGATAATGAAGTTTATAAGATTTAATCATATTAAATTTCATTATCCTAGTTTTTACAGATTTTTAGATAAGGAAGGATAATAATGTTTCATCCATAATATAAATTAAATTTATTTATTTAATGATAATCCTTAAGGCAAGAAAATCTAGTAGTAATACAAGGTTAACGTCAACATTATTAAGACACAACTAAGGAAATAAATAATTTGTAGAGTTGTCTCGCTGAAAAATATGTGAAATAAAATATGCCAACTTTATTTATCTATATTTTCTAATTATTATTCAGGTCTAGCTCAGTCTGGAATGGTATGCGATCCCTCCAGCAGTTGCGCTATTGTTGAAGATAATGGACTGAGTGCAGCTTTCACCATTGCTCATGAATTGGGACATGTGTATGCTGGTTTTTTACTTGTAAATAAATTAATTTAATAGAATAATTACAGATTTATACTTAATGGCAAAAATATAACATATATGATTACAAACTTTTTGGTATTTTGTAATTAATCTCAAAGCATTTTATATTTAGGTTAAGTATTCCTCACGATGACGATCATAAATGTGCTCGGTTTAATGATGAAGGACAGAGATTGCATGTGATGGCAAGGATGTTAGATTACAATAGTCATCCGTGGAGTTGGTCAATGTGCAGCCGTCATTATATTACAGCTTATTTAGAGTATGGTTTTATTAGTTTTTGTTTTTGTTTATAAAATCTATAAATTGTTATTAATTAATATTTAAAAATTATTAAAATTATATAAAGTATATATGTAATATAATTTATGTAATTTCTTTTAGAATTTTTAAAATATAAATATACTAACTAATTGTTAACAAATACATATTTCACTATTTTTATCAACATTATAGATATTACATTTATTTATTAAAGAATTTTAAATTGAATAATAATAAAAATGTTAAATGTACAATCAACAAATCACTGCTTTACTGAAGAATTCAGCCACATCAATATAAATTATAAAATGCCAAGTACTTTCAAACCTCCTAGTTCATCACAAGAGATGCTAAATACCCTAATGAGGAACCAAAAGGCTTAAAAATACTTGGTAGTCTTGTTATTTTTACTTATATAAGTCAGTTTTCTAGTAAAGCAGTGTTTTTTATTGATTTTAAAACTTGGAGATAAGTTTAAGTGCAGACGATTTATAATAAAATTTTTATAACAAAAAATATTAATAAACTTTAAATTTTTATTTGTAAAATACAGTGCTGGATTTGGACAATGTATGCTAGATAAACCTACTATTGACAAGCTTCAATCTGAAGAACATGCCAATAATCAGCCAGGACAATCATATGATATGGATAATCAGTGTGAATTAGTATTTGGTAAAGGGTCAAAAATATGTCCTTATATGCCTGTCTGTAAACGTTTATGGTGTACAATGGAAGATGTTACTCAGGGTGGTTGTAGAACACAGCATATGCCTTGGGCTGATGGCACAATATGTGGTAAAGAGAAGGTATGTATCATTCTTGTAGCTTACCATCATTGAAAATTCATTAAAATTAACCAATAGGATTATTTAAAGTGGTGTCAACAAGGTGAATGTGTGCGAATGGAATCTTCTCAATATCCAGTAGATGGACAGTGGGGTAAATGGCACAACTTCGGACCGTGTTCTCGTACCTGTGGTGGTGGTGTAAAGCGTGCCGAGAGATTTTGTGATAACCCAGCGTAAGAAATTAAATAATATGTTTATAAATTTAATATTTGGATTCTTAATAAGTCAATTTTAATTTATATTTTTATTTGTAGACCTGCTCGAGGAGGTAAATACTGTATGGGAAAGCGTGTAAAATATAGATCTTGTCACACTCAGGTCAGTATAATGTTATTAACTTGCTACTGAAATGAATGGATTGTGTAAATGAAATTTAGGCTAAATCATACAATACTATTGAAGAATTATGCATATGTTGAAATAAAATCATCTGGAAATAATTATAAACTATACTGTAAGTAGAAAAAATGATGTGAAAAATGAATACAAAATTTAATCTTGCCATATGCTGTCCTCTTTTGTATAAAATGTAATTAATTTATATATTAATCTTCAGAGAAAAATCAAATGATGCATTTTTGTAATTTTGTTTATATCTTCCTGTTTTCTATTTTTGTTTAATAACGAAAATTATAAAACTTTCTGTTTTATAATTAGCCTTGTCCACACGGATCTCAAGAATTTAGAGAAGAGCAGTGTGCCGCATTCAATGGAAAAACATTTAATCTTCCTGGTTTATATTCAAATGTAAAATGGGTACCACAGTATGCAGGAAGTAAGTTAAATTTATTATACAAGAAATTGATTATAATACTGTGATAATATATTTATTTTATTATTCATAAAACACATCTAAAGATTTCCAGGGTCATTATGACAGTAACAGACATTTAATATAAACAAACAATATATATGTAAATAAATAAAATACTGCATAAATTACAATAATATTTAAAATAAGATGAACTTGTAAAGTTAACTAAGTGCTTAGATATAATCCTCCAAGACATGATAATTTTCTAATAATCTATAAAAAAAAAGTTGCTAACTAAACAAATTAGGTAATAAACATAAATTCAGCAAATTTTATTTAGCAAGAAAATAAAAATTCTATATTTACATACAAATATAGTTAAGTGTAATAAGAATATCTATTTACTTACATAAAAAACAGATCATGTGATATATTTAAAAATAAATTTTTAAGAAAGATTGAAGAAAAACAAACACTTGATATATAATATTACATATTTAAATATAAATTTTACTTTTTAAGAACTCTTGTAAAGAATTAAAATGCTTATCAAATAATAATAATAACAATTATTATTATTTTAAATTGATGAATATTGATTAAAAAGTCTTTAACAAAAACAATTCAAAAATAACTTTTGATTTTACTTTTAGTTGATCCTCAAGAATCGTGTAAGTTATACTGTAGAGCTGTTGGTACATCTGCTTACTTTGTCTTGAAAGACAAAGTGATAGATGGTACACCATGCAGTCCAGATACATCAGATGTGTGTGTCAACGGTAAATGTTTAGTAAGTATTAGAAAAAAATAATTGATTAGACAGTGATGATAATTTAATTTCCTTATCTTTTAAGTGTTAAAATCAAAGTTTCATCTGTTAAAATAAAAAATATATTTAATCTACAAATTATATGATATTAACATTAAAAAGTGATACATAATGAACAGTGTAACAGACTGAATAAATGAACATTTTAATAACAAAATTATAATAATAGATAAATTCTATCATTATAACTTAAAACTTGAGTTGGCATTACTTATATATTTATAAATTATTAACGAAATAATAAATTTTAAACTTCATTATTTTAATTAATTTATTTTTTAACAGCCAGCTGGTTGTGATCATAGACTTGATTCCAATAAAAAATTTGACATGTGTGGAATATGTGGAGGTGATAATTCTACTTGTAGAGTTGTAGCCGGTCATTTCAATAATGTTGAATATGGTAAGAATTTCAAAGCTTTTTTTAAAGAATTTTAAACTGTATTAAGATTAATTTATTTTTACAAACTAGGCAGAAAATTTATTTTTGTGTATTGTATTAAACATATTCATCCAATTACCACTTGCAGTATCTGATCTTTGTTATCCTAGTAATATTGAAGTATATCATATTACAAAATACAAATTTGAAAATATTTCTTTATTAACTGTATAATTATTTTCATATAAAAAGATGTTATAATCTTTGTTTCATAAAATACAATAAGGAGTTTTTTGTTATTAGAATAATTAATGTTATTACAATTTGCCAAATTTTTTTTATTATCATAAATATCAACCACAAATATGATTTTATTGATAGAAGTTTGACCCTTGTAGCCAGTACATGGTACATTTTACTCTATGTAAAATGATAGTTTAAGATAATAATGAAGGTCACTTTTACTGATATACTATAAAGTTCTTTCACTACTGAAGAACCAGTTAAACTTTTTTTAAACTTTAATGGAAGCTAAAATGATAAATGAATTTTATATTAAAGTTTTGAGTTGTTTTAATAAATTTTTAAAAATATTTAGAGGATTTGTAATTAATAAAATGTTTAATAGATTTTTTTAATGGTATTTATAGGTTATAATCATATTGTATTAATTCCTGCTGGGGCCAGTAATCTAGACATTCGACAATTTGGTTATCAAAATTCTAATGATGATAATTATTTAGGTAAGAGAAAAGTGTGCTAATCAATTTATTAAATCTTAATTCCATTTTGTAATTTGCCACTTTTGATTGCATAAAAAAAATCATGTTAATATATTTATCTAAATATCTATAGAAAACTCATTTCTTTTTAATGCTAGAGAAAAAATTTTATTCTCATGTTAAGTGCTCTATAAATTTCAAAAATTTTTTGATTATTAGTAAATTTTAAAAATTTGAAATAATTTGAGATGGTAATGAATATTGAAAACTTATTTTCATATAAGTCAGGAACTAATCAAATACAGCAAGTCCTCATTCAATATTGCAATTTCCAAGAACTTATCAATGTTGTTAAGTGAAATAATGAATAACAAAACCAATTTTACCATAAGCTAAATGATATGAACAAGATATAATTTGGTTAAAACTATTCTAATTATCTCATGTTTGCAACCTTCAACATTTATTTCCCACCTCACAGAATCAATTTTACTGTTTATGAAAAAAATTTGATAATATTGTTGAATTTTGAATTATTTAAATTAATTTAAATGATCAAAAAATATACTTGTATTTTTCCTCAACAATGTTATAATGAAATGTTAAGTGAGGATTGCTGTACATTCATTTTCTCAAATGAAAAATATAAAGTACCATCATTATTTTATATAACAGGACTGTACATTTAAATAAAAATAAATCATATGGATAAAAATATATTTAGCCAGAAAATTACTTATGAATTAAAAAAAATATTATACACGAGAATCGAACCNCATTTCTTTTTAATGCTAGAGAAAAAATTTTATTCTCATGTTAAGTGCTCTATAAATTTCAAAAATTTTTTGATTATTAGTAAATTTTAAAAATCTGAAATAATTTGAGATCGTAATGAATATTGAAAACTTATTTTCATATAAGTCAGGAACTAATCAAATACAGCAAGTCCTCATTCAATATTGCAATTTCCAAGAACTTATCAATGTTGTTAAGTGAAATAATGAATAACAAAACCAATTTTACCATAAGCTAAATGATATGAACAAGATATAATTTGGTTAAAACTATTCTAATTATCTCATGTTTGCAACCTTCAACATTTATTTCCCACCTCACAGAATCAATTTTACTGTTTATGAAAAAAATTTGATAATATTGTTGAATTTTGAATTATTTAAATTAATTTAAATGATCAAAAAATATACTTGTATTTTTCCTCAACAATGTTATAATGAAATGTTAAGTGAGGATTGCTGTACATTCATTTTCTCAAATGAAAAATATAAAGTACCATCATTATTTTATATAACAGGACTGTACATTTAAATAAAAATAAATCATATGGATAAAAATATATTTAGCCAGAAAATTACTTATGAATTAAAAAAAATATACAGACATATTTTTCAATACTATTTTTTAATTACAGTATATATTTTATTACTTTTAACAATTTTTATAAACCCCAACTAGTTAAGGATATTTAATATATTATTATCCATTATTCAATTTCATTATTATTAATAAAATATTACTTTCAGAGTGAATAACTAATATTTATTCCAACTTTAATCATTTTCTTTTTTTATAAAATAAAATATCAACAACTTATCCTTTGAAAAGTTTTTAGATTTTATTCATAACTTTACATATTAATTATCATAAATATAACCTGTTATGGAAGCTTCTTGAACATAAATCTCATTCAAACTTTTTACCTAAGTGAAATCTATTCAGCAAACTTAAGCACTTTACAGCCAAAGGTTCATCACTAAACATTAACAAATAGATAGTAATATAGTTTATTTCTGCCCAAAAGTGCTTGAATATTCTAAAATTTAGTTTGAATTGAATTTAACATATTGAAAATTTAACAAACTTCTTGTTAAAAACCAACTATATTTTTATTTTAATAAATTCTTTATTTTCAAAGTAATTCTATAGTTATTGTAAACTACTTACTTCTTTATTAATCTAACAAAAGAAAAGAAAATAATAAGAAAAAGTTGTAATTTAATACATGTTATATTAAATGTTAAAAGAAACTAGAAATAGAATCATGTATTATTGAAATTTTAGTTTACCATCATTCTGATTTCAAATTACTTACTGTAGATTATTCAAAATCAAAGAAACATTTTAAAATTAATATTAAATAATTTGTAATTTATATTTACATAACATATATTTCCATTTATAATCTTTTAATATTTAAATTATAGCCTTAAGGGACAGTAATGGAAAATATATTTTAAATGGAGATTTTATGGTGAGCATGTTTCCAAAAACATTGCAATATGGTGGCACACTTTTAGAATATACTGGGTCTGATTCAATAATTGAAAGAATTAATACAACAAAGCAACTGAAGAAGGATCTTATTGTAATGGTTAGTAGAATTTTATTAGTTTAGATTTAGATAAAATGATTAATTTTTATAAAGACAGTAACTAACTGTTATGTTGCAAAGTTTAATGTATGTAACAACTTAGAAACAAATGTCAAGATATTAATTTGTTATCTAAATAATTACTGATTACTAATAAAGTATTTTAGATTTGATTTAATTTAAATCTGTTTAAAATTTAATATATAGGTTTTGACAGTTGGTAAACTTCATTCCCCTGATGTGAGATTCCAATATACAGTTTCTTTATCAGATGCTCAAAGATATGAATGGGATTTGGAAAAACAATGGTCACAGTGCAGTAGAGCTTGCCAAGGTGAGAATATTATATTGAATTTATATGAAAGTTATTTCATAAATAATGCCAATTAGAATCTAAAATGATTAACATTTATTATGACAAAAAATATTTTTGAGATAATGAGATGATGAATTGAAAATGAATATGAACTGATAATGAAGTGAGAACCTCCAACACTTTTTATCATAACAAATTTTGGACTCTTGTAATATAGTTGTTTACAAATGAAAGATACAAAAATTGTTTATCTTAACTAAAAAATAAACAACCTTTTTAAAATCAGCACTTTTTTATTTTGAATAAATGTTTTTAGATTCATTAAAAATCAGATTCAGAGTTAAAAAAGAACATGGAACAAAAACTGAAGAAGAAAATGGTTCAAAATATTTGGAAATAAATACTGAATGCATAGTATTTAAAATTTAAATGACTATAAAATAAAAATATACAGTAATTTATTAGTGTATATTTTTAATACATTAATATCAAAATATAGGTTATTGCTTGTAAGAAAAAACTGTTATGCTCCAGACAGTGATTTGGCATCACTTTATTTAAATAAATAAAAGGAAAAAAATTTTCACAGACATGAATTTGACATATTTCAAAAATTTGGCTAGATATAAACCTTTAATTTTTTCATATTTTTAGTCTTGTTCCATTCTACTTCACCTTCTTTTTTAAATATTTTGATGTTCCATGTTCTACTTCGTTTTAGAAATTAACCTGAGGATAGCATCTGATGAAATTAAAAATGTTTATTCAAATTAAAAACATGCTAGTTTTAAAAAGATTGTTTGTTTATTTCTTACAGAGATTCTTCCTTAATTAATGGAATAAACATAACAATTAATTATTCTAGTTTACAAATATAAATATTATTATTGAAAATTTAATAAATCAATGAAATAAAAAATTTGTAATAAATGAAAAACTGATACACAAAATTATTTGATGATAACTTCTTAATAATTAATCAATTTATTTTCTGTACAATAATTTATTTTACTTTTTGCTGAATATTTAGGACTTATCATTTTGGGTCAGTGTAAATGTATCCAAAGAAAAATACTTTTTCACAAATTTATATTTATTTATATAACATGACACAGAAACAGGAAACTACTTTATTTTCAATTTAATTGGAGATCATTATCACACATTTACTCATGATTCATGTCTTCTTCAGAAATAAATATAATTAAATTCACAGAAAATTATTGCTATAATGCTATAATTAAATCACCAAGTATAATTTTTAGCTGAATTATATAGAAACTGTATTTTATTGTATCAAGTTTATACTTAATATAATTAGAATTAAATGTTAAGAAACTATATATATGTTTTAGTCTCTAAAAAAGACAGTTTATATCAGAAAATCTAAAATAAAATTATTTGTTTGAATTCAAATCGCCTCATTGTCTCTAGGTTTAACTTTTTTAAATTTCTATAAAATGATATAGTCACAATTCACAGAATTGTATATAGTGTTATTAATGATTTCAATATTATATATCATCAGATCAAAACAGTAAAATTTTTTTTTAAGTTTTGTAATTTTAGCTTCATAATGATCTACTAGAATGATAATAACCAGAATTTAGAACAAATATCTTTTGTTGATATCTTTAGTTTATGTTTCTTGAAAAAAATAATAATAAAAATAAAATTACAGATTGAAGACATAATAAAATATATTTATTCTAAATTCTAGTTATTATATTTATTATTATAAACTATCAAGGAAAAAAATAACTTGAAAGCAAGCTCTCTTTTTATTTAAAAATAAAAAAAATAATATTATAAACCTCTTCTGTGCAAAATGCACAGACGAAGGTTTATAATTTTTGTTAATAAAGTTTGGAACGATATAATAATATATTTTATTATCCGTAATGAAGATATTAAGATGAAAGAACTGTTTATTAATAGCCATTTTTATAATAATTTTACTTATTTTAGTATTGATTTATGTAATAAATATTGATATAAACTATGCTATTTTATTTGAATTTTTATTATTTACATACTACAACAAATGCTGCTTATTAATTTTAATTTATGAAATTAGTAGTGACTAACCAGAATTTTGTTTTGAGATTATAGGTGAACAATATCGCCAACCAGTATGTGTTGAAATAAACAATCGTAGAATAGTGAACGATGCTCATTGCCTAGAAAATCGTAAACCTCCTCAACTTGCACAAGTTTGTAATTTACAATGTTCTCTAAGGTATAAAAAAATTGATTTATAATAATCTTATTTTATAATTTTTATTATATCGCTCAGTTTTATCTGAAAGAATGACACCATTATTTTAGATGGCAAGTGGTACAAAAGAGCGAATGTTCTACTAATTGTGGAAAGGGAACAAGGAAAAGAGTATTTAAATGTATACAACAGTCTGACGATGGCATTCAAATGCTTGAAGATAACTTATGTGATCATTTAGGACCAAAACCTGAAGACGATGAAGAATGTGAGGGACCATGTTCAAATACTCATTGGGAATTTGGAAAATGGTCTAGAGTAAGAAATTTCTTTTGTGATATTTACTATTATTAAAAAATAAGTATTGATTTGATAAACAGACATATATAAATATATAAATATTAAATTAATATTAATGAAAATTTCAGTGTTCTCAGACATGTGGTCAAGGAATGGAAACACGTTCTGCCAAATGTGTAGATGCACAGAATGAGACACAGTCTGAATCGTTATGTGATAGTAAAGCCAAACTCATTTCTAGGCCATGTAATTCTGGTCCTTGTCCATATTGGGAAGTAGGAGAATGGACACAGGTATTTAATTATATATATTAAATGACTATTAATATGTTCAACTTTGTTAATTGACTTAAATTAATTTATCTAGGCTATAAAAATGCAATTAACTGCATTTAATGCATGTCATTTGAATTATTTTCAAATTAGCTAATATTTTTAAAAGAAGCTAGTTTTAATAGCTAAATTTTGATAATTAAAATAATTATACAAAATTAAATGATAAAATCCTGCTGTGTAATTTAATTAGATATGTAAGACAAGAATGTCTATCAATCAAAAAATTTGAAAGTTTTAAATTGCAATTACTCTTTCATAAATAAGAATAACCTTGATTCATAAGAGATTAATTGTCCAAATAGATAATCATTGTAAATATAAATAAGTTTATTGAAATTATTTTTTTCAGAAAAGATTTTTTACCAGAATAAAATATTGAGCAAGTTTCTAATATCATACATTATTGATTTTACTAATAAACCATTTTCTCATTTAATTTCCCTAATTTGTGGAAAATGTTTTAAATTGATATAAAAATTGCTTATGGTATTTAAACAAATAGGGCCATTGAGATTGGAGGGAAGCTAGAAATTTTTTCTTAGGCTTGAAGAAAACATAGGGACTTATAGAGAATTCCATATAAAATTAATGTTATTTTTACTAACATAAAATAAAATACTTACAACTGCTTCTACTAATTAATAAACAAGCATTCTATGTATTTCATTTGTTCAAAAAATATATGCAGTGGATAAAGATCCTACTATCCACAAGCATAGCAGGTCCTTGACAGCCCTGGAAACAACTAAGAAAGTAATTCCCAAATATATGGAAAAAGTTCTTTATGAACTAAAATTACTATAATAATTTCTGTATATTTATAACTGAGATTATTATGTATGTGTATGTATATATTTATAATATATACAGTACTTTATGTATATGCTTCGTACATTAAAATAATTTTTAATATTTAATGTACCAGTATATATACTTTTTATGTTACTGAATTTATATGTGCTAAATAGTATATTTTAAATTAATAGTTTTATCTTATCAAATTATTTACATTACAATTCAAAGATACCAGTATTCAATGTATTTACATAGTTCTTTATAAATATTTTTTTAATTAGAATTTTCTTTCATATTTTAACATGGTCTTTAAAAAATTCCCTATTTTCCTGTTTAAGTGGATCCAACTTTGCTTATTTTTTTTTATTTGTCTCATTATAAATGCAAAATATAAACGGTTTAAAAGAGTAATAATACATTTAGAATAGATTAGTATAGCAGATTTAGTATAATTTTTCTTATATATGTATTACTGCAACTACAAAATAATTTTCTGTTAGTATATACTATCTGCTTAATACATAATCTACACTCTTATATTAATTTATAATGTATTGCATCAGGACAATAATTTGATTAATTGTATAATCTCACTGTTGAAGTTATTGATGCTTATATTGAATAATGATTTTATTACAATATAAGCATCAATTTACACAATTCAAAGAAATTTACTTTATATTTAAATATAACTTAGTAATTTTAATATAATCTTTATATTTAAATATAAAAATTAAATTTATTAAAATAATTTTCTGTTTTTTTTTAAGTTAATGTCCTTTATTGAAGTATTTAGTAATTATGACAATATGATGCAAATCATCATCATGCAAAAAATTAGATGAATTATTTATGAAAATTGAAGTATTTAGTAATTATGACAATATGATGCAAATCATCATCATGCAAAAAATTAGATGAATTTCACTATTTTAAATATTAATAGTCCTTGGTTAATGTACTTTTAATTAGCACATTAATGCAGTTTATTAATTATAGATAACTTTTATTCTACACCACTGTTTTTGTATAACACAGTTCCAAAGATCATTATTAAACACTGTATAGATAGTTTACTTACTTTACTATTAAGGATTGTATCTATTCCATTAATCAAGGACAATCTACATACAGTTCATGTAATCATAATCTTTGAAACTTTGTGCACAATAAATTTTCAGATAAATTAATTCTAAAAGGATTTTTTTTTAATTTTTATTAATATTTTTTTAAATTTTGATTTTCAAAAATGGCAATATAAAGTCTATTGTGTTGAGCCATTTCTAAAAATACAAAATATATTTTATAGTGTTCTGTGACGTGTGGCACAGGGGAACGACATAGACCATATTGGTGCCGTTATATAAATCAAGTAGTTAGTGGTTCATTTTGTGATTCAACCTCTGTGCCATCTCACAAGGAACAATGTCAAATGGCATCTTGTGCACAATGGAAATTTGGTAACTGGGGACCAGTAAGTTTGATATATTTGTTGAATTTCTGAATATTGTTTAAATCTTTCCATCTTTAAACAGCAATATGTAAAGAATCTATTTTATTTATGAAATTTTTTATTCTCAGTGTACTGCAAGTTGTGGTCAAGGATATTCTAAACGTGAAGTATATTGTGAATTGGATAGTCAAGTTGTTGATGACGACCAATGTGATACAAAACTTAAGCCGAGTTCCAATAAAGAATGCCGCCTTCCATCTTGTGTAACAACCACGACTACTAGCACCACTGTGGAACCAATTACTGATACCACAAGTAATAATTATTTGCCTCCTCTTCCTCTGCCATTAGTTCAAGAAGAAACAACTGAGAGGCACTTTACCACTACTGAAGCTCCAGAAAATGCTGAATGGAAACCTGGAGATTGGTCTGAAGTAAGCAGATATTAAATATCAGTATAAAAGTATTTTATATTCAATTAGTAATATCCTGTGTTATTCTATAGTGCTCTGTAACTTGTGGAAGAGGAATCAAAAAACGCCAAATTGTTTGTTATAATCCAATCAGAAAACAGGTACTCCATGACTCTAGGTGTGATATTTCATTGCAGCCACCTGTATTAGAAATATGTGAAGTCCAACCATGCGGGCAATGGATAATTGGAGAATGGAGTCAAGTAATTGAATTTCTTTGTCTATTTTTAAACAACATAACAAGTATAACACCTTGCTCTAACAATAAATATTAAAATGTAATAAAAATCTAATGTTTCTATTATATATGAAAGTATATAATTCAGAAAACTAACTTCTAAATAATTATTACAGTAATTTTATCACAAAGACTTTTATGCAGAAGTACTATTTGTAAAGAATATTTATGAAGATTTGTATGAAAATATTAAATAACTTTTTAGAAAAATATAATTATTTCCAATCAGATGCTTGGAATTTTAAGCAATATTTATTTGTGCATTATAACTTATATATATTAGGACTGATGACAACTTAAATCTGATTTTATATTCTAAGAAGAATGTGAAATATACCAATTACATGATTAATAAATTTGAAAAACTGTCAGTAGTAATAATGCCTTTAATAACAGTTTTTGGCTTTTATTCAAAATGTAATAAATATGATCAAATATTATAAAAATGTTTCTTTATTTACCACAAAATTTGCTTTAGATTTTGTCTTTTCATCATTTTTCAATTTCAAAATTAATAAACTAACAACATACAAATGATATTTTTTACATCATTTAAAATATAAATAACATTTATTCTTTGGATTGAATTACTACTGACACAGTAAATTCTATAATTAGGAACAGTAATAAATATCCTAATAGCTGACCTTGGTTATGTGGAACTTGAAATAAATTTTAACAGAACATGTGATATGTGATTTACATTCTTTGATAAAATAAGTCATATTTAAGTTGACCATCCTATAATTTATTAATTACTATTTTTAAATGTTTTTATTAAGAAATATGATCAAACTTGCTGTATTTCAATTGTTAATTTTAACTGTGTTAACTTCTGAATGTTCATACTGTAGTTGTTTATCTTCTTTTAATAACTTTTACATTCTAACCTTATCATTCTAAAAATTAAAATATGCAAAATTGTAACATTTTAAAGTAAATAAAATTTATAATATTGTTTTACAAGTTTTGAATATTTTTTTCCCTGACAAACTAACAGAATTCATATTAACAGTAATATAGAAAACTACATTAATCAAAACTAATCTTATCTTTCTACCATAAAATAATTACTAATTATGCAAAAATAAATTTTGTGAAAAATTAAAAAATATATATATGTAAACTTCAAAGGAATGTAGAATTCTGAATTTTTATTTATCAATATTCACCTCTACAGTGTCCCGTGACATGTGGTGAAGGGGTATCTGTTAGAACAGTAATGTGTATGAAAGATAATGAGAAAAAAGAAGATCAAGATTGTGATCAAACAAATCGCCCAGCAAGTGAAAGGCTATGTAGTATTTCACCATGTGATATTCTTCCTGTTCAAGCTCCTGAAATTCCACATATTTCCCATAATAGTGTAGAAGGTGTTTCTTACTGGAGAACTGGACATTGGGGAGAAGTATGTTTCTTATTTGATAATTAAATGTAAATAATAGTAGATTATAAAATACTTTTCTCTATTAGTGTTCAAAATCATGTGGAAAAGGACAAAAACGAAGACAAGTTGCTTGTTATGATGAGGCAGGTCATATTAGTAATCAATGTTCACTGCATCATAAACCCCCAACTGTTTCATCATGTAATAATGATCCTTGTCCAAGTTGGATTACTAGTGAATGGAGTATGGTAAGTTGATCGTTAGAAATTAGTTTTAAGTCTAATATCCAAAATTAACAAGGAAATTAAATGAAAAACTTTTGTTAAATAGTGCAGTCATAGTTGTGGGGGTGGAATCCAAATACGATCAGTTCACTGCCAAACTGCAGATAAAAATGATTTATCTGAAGACCGTTGCGATTTTGATAAGAAACCTTCCACTAGACAAGAATGTAACCAACACCATTGCACACATTCTCTTCATTATCGTTGGGAAGTAGAACAGTGGACTCAAGTAAGAATAACATATATTGTTAAGTGAGAGATTTGTTAATATTTGGTATATTAACATTTTTATAATTTCATAGTGTAATGTATCCTGTGGTACAGGACACAAATACAGACATGTGTATTGCCAGGATAGTAGACATTCTATCGTCTCTGATAAAAGATGCACTACTAAAAAACCTCGAACTGTTAGAAAATGTAAAGGAACAGAGTGTCCTTTTTATGTCTGGAAAACAGAAGATTGGTCTGAGGTATGTAGTCATAATATTAAAGAATTCATTATTAAGTCAGCTTTTTGTATAAGAATTAAGTCATTATTTGATCTGATTCACATTTCAGAATTTGTCACATTTTTTTCTTCAGAATCATAAAAGAAATCTATGCACAAAAAGATTTTGTTGGAATGTTCATAAGTTTTGTAAATTAGTTTCACATAATCGAGGATACACAAATTCAAAATAAAAATACAACATAAATAAAATATTTAGTATCAGTTACATGAAGTTAATATATGAAACTTACATAGCCCCAAAGAGTTTCAACACCAATATACTTATTTGAAATGTTCATTTAATAAATTTTAACATAACAGATTTTTAAATATATTAAGTTTAGTCTTTATTAAAAATCATTTACATTCAAATTTTTTCAATTCAACATTCTAATGAGGTAGATTATATTATAAACTTACATCTAAAGTAAGAATATAAAGAATTTCAAAATTATTAAATCCAAAACAAAATAATAATCTACATATATTTAGTGTAAAATAAAACTTTTAAGTTATTTTGATGAGTAAGATTTAAAAAATAAATGTTTTATCATAAAAGCATTTTAGTGTATCTTCAATTTATTTTTTTATATAGAAAATGATATTAAATATAATTTTTTTTAAATGTGAACAATATTGTTTTGAATGTTTTTGATAAAAAATAAATTAAATGTATTTAACACTTAAAATTAATCAAGATTTGTATATTTATTTCATGGCTACTTTTAAGAAGAAATATAAAATTAAAATTTGAAATTATATTGTGAATGATTACATGTATGGGTCCTATGTATTACTTTATGTAAAAGTAAATCATTTATTATTTATTTTTAGATTAATTTAAGAATTTTATCTAGTTATCTGTGTTTTACTTTTAGTTTAATTATATTCTATAAAATATAATTTCAGTGTTCTGAATCTTGTGGAAAGGGCTTACAGAAACGTAAAGTTACATGTCACCAACTGAATCACTATGGATGGATGAATCCCAATAGTGTCACTCAACCTTCTAAACATGGAGATCCATGGTGTGATTTAAAAAGCCGTCCAACAGATGTTAAAGCATGCAATCTAGGAAGATGTGATAGTAATACATATTGGAGGGTTGGATTATGGAATGAAGTAAGAATAAATCAAATAGATCAATCATTTCTAAAATACATTCAAGCAAAATTAGATAATTTTAAATTAAATCCATAAAAATAGTGTTCACATGAATGTGGAAAAGGAAAACAAAAAAGAAAAGTGCAGTGTATAAATTCACATGGAAAACGAATTCCCCAAAGGAGATGTGAAATGTCATTAAAACCAAAGCGAAGAAGAAATTGCAATAAACAACCATGTATGTGCTAAATTTATCTGTAACAAAAATTAGTCATATTTAAAATATAAAATTTAATTTATAAAATTATTAGGTACACCCACTAGTTGTAGTGATTTGCAAAGAAGAAATATTAGGGAAGATGGAGAATATCAAATACAAGTGAGAGGTCGTTCTGTGAGAGTTTATTGTTCTGGAATGAATACAAGTAGTCCACGAGAATATATCACCCTTATTAGTGGAGAAGGTGATAATTACTCAGAAATTTATGATAAAAGGTAAAGTATTTAACAATGATCTAACTAATAAAAAATAAATTTGTTTTATCTTTTGTTCACTATTTAAACTTGTAAAATGAAATGACTTAACATAATCAAAAGAAATAATCATGCAGACTCTCTTCATTTTACTATTGAGATCTGATTTGCATTTTTATTATGTTCAGGTTAGTGAAACCAGAAACATGTCCTCACAATGGTATGCGTCAGGATAATTGTGAATGCATAAATGATGACCGAGCTGGAGCAGGACTTTCTACATTTTTTCGAATTGGAATAAATATCACTTCATTGCAAATTATGAGTAAGAACTTTAAAAATTATCAAATATATATATTGGCAATTTTCAAAAATTTACAATTTTAAATTTAAATTTTTAGCTCACGATTTTACCTTCAGCCAAACGCATCATGGACATCAGGTACCCTATGGAGAATCTGGTGATTGTTACAGTATGAGACATTGTCCTCAGGGCAGATTTTCTATTAATTTAATGGGAACAGGATTTATAGTTTCTCCAAAGACAAGATGGGTAAAGCAAGGTAATCGACCAGCTTCCAAGATTCAAAAATTAGAGGTGATTAATATTAAGAAATCTGTACAAAATAAAAATATAATTAAAATTTATTTAAAATTAATATAAAATGTTTCAAAAATCAATAGAATGGACAAGTGGTTCAGGGAAAGTGTGGAGGATATTGTGGGAAATGTGGACCAGATTCCAATATAGGATTATTATTGGATGTTGCTCCTCCTTGACTCTGGTAATTATTTGATTTACATTTTATTTTGCATTATTTGACTATAGAATAATTGCTTAATTTTTTTTTTTTTTNATTGATATAAACTATGCTATTTTATTTGAATTTTTATTATTTACATACTACAACAAATGCTGCTTATTAATTTTAATTTAAGAAATTAGTAGTGACTAACCAGAATTTTGTTTTGAGATTATAGGTGAACAATATCGCCAACCAGTATGTGTTGAAATAAACAATCGTAGAATAGTGAACGATGCTCATTGCCTAGAAAATCGTAAACCTCCTCAACTTGCACAAGTTTGTAATTTACAATGTTCTCTAAGGTATAAAAAAATTGATTTATAATAATCTTATTTTATAATTTTTATTATATCGCTCAGTTTTATCTGAAAGAATGACACCATTATTTTAGATGGCAAGTGGTACAAAAGAGCGAATGTTCTACTAATTGTGGAAAGGGAACAAGGAAAAGAGTATTTAAATGTATACAACAGTCTGACGATGGCATTCAAATGCTTGAAGATAACTTATGTGATCATTTAGGACCAAAACCTGAAGACGATGAAGAATGTGAGGGACCATGTTCAAATACTCATTGGGAATTTGGAAAATGGTCTAGAGTAAGAAATTTCTTTTGTGATATTTACTATTATTAAAAAATAAGTATTGATTTGATAAACAGACATATATAAATATATAAATATTAAATTAATATTAATGAAAATTTCAGTGTTCTCAGACATGTGGTCAAGGAATGGAAACACGTTCTGCCAAATGTGTAGATGCACAGAATGAGACACAGTCTGAATCGTTATGTGATAGTAAAGCCAAACTCATTTCTAGGCCATGTAATTCTGGTCCTTGTCCATATTGGGAAGTAGGAGAATGGACACAGGTATTTAATTATATATATTAAATGACTATTAATATGTTCAACTTTGTTAATTGACTTAAATTAATTTATCTAGGCTATAAAAATGCAATTAACTGCATTTAATGCATGTCATTTGAATTATTTTCAAATTAGCTAATATTTTTAAAAGAAGCTAGTTTTAATAGCTAAATTTTGATAATTAAAATAATTATACAAAATTAAATGATAAAATCCTGCTGTGTAATTTAATTAGATATGTAAGACAAGAATGTCTATCAATCAAAAAATTTGAAAGTTTTAAATTGCAATTACTCTTTCATAAATAAGAATAACCTTGATTCATAAGAGATTAATTGTCCAAATAGATAATCATTGTAAATATAAATAAGTTTATTGAAATTATTTTTTTCAGAAAAGATTTTTTACCAGAATAAAATATTGAGCAAGTTTCTAATATCATACATTATTGATTTTACTAATAAACCATTTTCTCATTTAATTTCCCTAATTTGTGGAAAATGTTTTAAATTGATATAAAAATTGCTTATGGTATTTAAACAAATAGGGCCATTGAGATTGGAGGGAAGCTAGAAATTTTTTCTTAGGCTTGAAGAAAACATAGGGACTTATAGAGAATTCCATATAAAATTAATGTTATTTTTACTAACATAAAATAAAATACTTACAACTGCTTCTACTAATTAATAAACAAGCATTCTATGTATTTCATTTGTTCAAAAAATATATGCAGTGGATAAAGATCCTACTATCCACAAGCATAGCAGGTCCTTGACAGCCCTGGAAACAACTAAGAAAGTAATTCCCAAATATATGGAAAAAGTTCTTTATGAACTAAAATTACTATAATAATTTCTGTATATTTATAACTGAGATTATTATGTATGTGTATGTATATATTTATAATATATACAGTACTTTATGTATATGCTTCGTACATTAAAATAATTTTTAATATTTAATGTACCAGTATATATACTTTTTATGTTACTGAATTTATATGTGCTAAATAGTATATTTTAAATTAATAGTTTTATCTTATCAAATTATTTACATTACAATTCAAAGATACCAGTATTCAATGTATTTACATAGTTCTTTATAAATATTTTTTTAATTAGAATTTTCTTTCATATTTTAACATGGTCTTTAAAAAATTCCCTATTTTCCTGTTTAAGTGGATCCAACTTTGCTTATTTTTTTTTATTTGTCTCATTATAAATGCAAAATATAAACGGTTTAAAAGAGTAATAATACATTTAGAATAGATTAGTATAGCAGATTTAGTATAATTTTTCTTATATATGTATTACTGCAACTACAAAATAATTTTCTGTTAGTATATACTATCTGCTTAATACATAATCTACACTCTTATATTAATTTATAATGTATTGCATCAGGACAATAATTTGATTAATTGTATAATCTCACTGTTGAAGTTATTGATGCTTATATTGAATAATGATTTTATTACAATATAAGCATCAATTTACACAATTCAAAGAAATTTACAAATGTGTTTGATTATTCACTCGGTGTGATAAATCATTACATAAGATAATCTTTTCTTGTTATATAGATTACATACTGTAATATAATACGATACAAGAGTTAGTAGTACGAAATAAGCTAATAATCTTAATGTTTNAAAATTAGATGAATTATTTATGAAAATTGAAGTATTTAGTAATTATGACAATATGATGCAAATCATCATCATGCAAAAAATTAGATGAATTTCACTATTTTAAATATTAATAGTCCTTGGTTAATGTACTTTTAATTAGCACATTAATGCAGTTTATTAATTATAGATAACTTTTATTCTACACCACTGTTTTTGTATAACACAGTTCCAAAGATCATTATTAAACACTGTATAGATAGTTTACTTACTTTACTATTAAGGATTGTATCTATTCCATTAATCAAGGACAATCTACATACAGTTCATGTAATCATAATCTTTGAAACTTTGTGCACAATAAATTTTCAGATAAATTAATTCTAAAAGGATTTTTTTTTAATTTTTATTAATATTTTTTTAAATTTTGATTTTCAAAAATGGCAATATAAAGTCTATTGTGTTGAGCCATTTCTAAAAATACAAAATATATTTTATAGTGTTCTGTGACGTGTGGCACAGGGGAACGACATAGACCATATTGGTGCCGTTATATAAATCAAGTAGTTAGTGGTTCATTTTGTGATTCAACCTCTGTGCCATCTCACAAGGAACAATGTCAAATGGCATCTTGTGCACAATGGAAATTTGGTAACTGGGGACCAGTAAGTTTGATATATTTGTTGAATTTCTGAATATTGTTTAAATCTTTCCATCTTTAAACAGCAATATGTAAAGAATCTATTTTATTTATGAAATTTTTTATTCTCAGTGTACTGCAAGTTGTGGTCAAGGATATTCTAAACGTGAAGTATATTGTGAATTGGATAGTCAAGTTGTTGATGACGACCAATGTGATACAAAACTTAAGCCGAGTTCCAATAAAGAATGCCGCCTTCCATCTTGTGTAACAACCACGACTACTAGCACCACTGTGGAACCAATTACTGATACCACAAGTAATAATTATTTGCCTCCTCTTCCTCTGCCATTAGTTCAAGAAGAAACAACTGAGAGGCACTTTACCACTACTGAAGCTCCAGAAAATGCTGAATGGAAACCTGGAGATTGGTCTGAAGTAAGCAGATATTAAATATCAGTATAAAAGTATTTTATATTCAATTAGTAATATCCTGTGTTATTCTATAGTGCTCTGTAACTTGTGGAAGAGGAATCAAAAAACGCCAAATTGTTTGTTATAATCCAATCAGAAAACAGGTACTCCATGACTCTAGGTGTGATATTTCATTGCAGCCACCTGTATTAGAAATATGTGAAGTCCAACCATGCGGGCAATGGATAATTGGAGAATGGAGTCAAGTAATTGAATTTCTTTGTCTATTTTTAAACAACATAACAAGTATAACACCTTGCTCTAACAATAAATATTAAAATGTAATAAAAATCTAATGTTTCTATTATATATGAAAGTATATAATTCAGAAAACTAACTTCTAAATAATTATTACAGTAATTTTATCACAAAGACTTTTATGCAGAAGTACTATTTGTAAAGAATATTTATGAAGATTTGTATGAAAATATTAAATAACTTTTTAGAAAAATATAATTATTTCCAATCAGATGCTTGGAATTTTAAGCAATATTTATTTGTGCATTATAACTTATATATATTAGGACTGATGACAACTTAAATCTGATTTTATATTCTAAGAAGAATGTGAAATATACCAATTACATGATTAATAAATTTGAAAAACTGTCAGTAGTAATAATGCCTTTAATAACAGTTTTTGGCTTTTATTCAAAATGTAATAAATATGATCAAATATTATAAAAATGTTTCTTTATTTACCACAAAATTTGCTTTAGATTTTGTCTTTTCATCATTTTTCAATTTCAAAATTAATAAACTAACAACATACAAATGATATTTTTTACATCATTTAAAATATAAATAACATTTATTCTTTGGATTGAATTACTACTGACACAGTAAATTCTATAATTAGGAACAGTAATAAATATCCTAATAGCTGACCTTGGTTATGTGGAACTTGAAATAAATTTTAACAGAACATGTGATATGTGATTTACATTCTTTGATAAAATAAGTCATATTTAAGTTGACCATCCTATAATTTATTAATTACTATTTTTAAATGTTTTTATTAAGAAATATGATCAAACTTGCTGTATTTCAATTGTTAATTTTAACTGTGTTAACTTCTGAATGTTCATACTGTAGTTGTTTATCTTCTTTTAATAACTTTTACATTCTAACCTTATCATTCTAAAAATTAAAATATGCAAAATTGTAACATTTTAAAGTAAATAAAATTTATAATATTGTTTTACAAGTTTTGAATATTTTTTTCCCTGACAAACTAACAGAATTCATATTAACAGTAATATAGAAAACTACATTAATCAAAACTAATCTTATCTTTCTACCATAAAATAATTACTAATTATGCAAAAATAAATTTTGTGAAAAATTAAAAAATATATATATGTAAACTTCAAAGGAATGTAGAATTCTGAATTTTTATTTATCAATATTCACCTCTACAGTGTCCCGTGACATGTGGTGAAGGGGTATCTGTTAGAACAGTAATGTGTATGAAAGATAATGAGAAAAAAGAAGATCAAGATTGTGATCAAACAAATCGCCCAGCAAGTGAAAGGCTATGTAGTATTTCACCATGTGATATTCTTCCTGTTCAAGCTCCTGAAATTCCACATATTTCCCATAATAGTGTAGAAGGTGTTTCTTACTGGAGAACTGGACATTGGGGAGAAGTATGTTTCTTATTTGATAATTAAATGTAAATAATAGTAGATTATAAAATACTTTTCTCTATTAGTGTTCAAAATCATGTGGAAAAGGACAAAAACGAAGACAAGTTGCTTGTTATGATGAGGCAGGTCATATTAGTAATCAATGTTCACTGCATCATAAACCCCCAACTGTTTCATCATGTAATAATGATCCTTGTCCAAGTTGGATTACTAGTGAATGGAGTATGGTAAGTTGATCATTAGAAATTAGTTTTAAGTCTAATATCCAAAATTAACAAGGAAATTAAATGAAAAACTTTTGTTAAATAGTGCAGTCATAGTTGTGGGGGTGGAATCCAAATACGATCAGTTCACTGCCAAACTGCAGATAAAAATGATTTATCTGAAGACCGTTGCGATTTTGATAAGAAACCTTCCACTAGACAAGAATGTAACCAACACCATTGCACACATTCTCTTCATTATCGTTGGGAAGTAGAACAGTGGACTCAAGTAAGAATAACATATATTGTTAAGTGAGAGATTTGTTAATATTTGGTATATTAACATTTTTATAATTTCATAGTGTAATGTATCCTGTGGTACAGGACACAAATACAGACATGTGTATTGCCAGGATAGTAGACATTCTATCGTCTCTGATAAAAGATGCACTACTAAAAAACCTCGAACTGTTAGAAAATGTAAAGGAACAGAGTGTCCTTTTTATGTCTGGAAAACAGAAGATTGGTCTGAGGTATGTAGTCATAATATTAAAGAATTCATTATTAAGTCAGCTTTTTGTATAAGAATTAAGTCATTATTTGATCTGATTCACATTTCAGAATTTGTCACATTTTTTTCTTCAGAATCATAAAAGAAATCTATGCACAAAAAGATTTTGTTGGAATGTTCATAAGTTTTGTAAATTAGTTTCACATAATCGAGGATACACAAATTCAAAATAAAAATACAACATAAATAAAATATTTAGTATCAGTTATATGAAGTTAATATATGAAACTTACATAGCCCCAAAGAGTTTCAACACCAATATACTTATTTGAAATGTTCATTTAATAAATTTTAACATAACAGATTTTTAAATATATTAAGTTTAGTCTTTATTAAAAATCATTTACATTCAAATTTTTTCAATTCAACATTCTAATGAGGTAGATTATATTATAAACTTACATCTAAAGTAAGAATATAAAGAATTTCAAAATTATTAAATCCAAAACAAAATAATAATCTACATATATTTAGTGTAAAATAAAACTTTTAAGTTATTTTGATGAGTAAGATTTAAAAAATAAATGTTTTATCATAAAAGCATTTTAGTGTATCTTCAATTTATTTTTTTATATAGAAAATGATATTAAATATAATTTTTTTTAAATGTGAACAATATTGTTTTGAATGTTTTTGATAAAAAATAAATTAAATGTATTTAACACTTAAAATTAATCAAGATTTGTATATTTATTTCATGGCTACTTTTAAGAAGAAATATAAAATTAAAATTTGAAATTATATTGTGAATGATTACATGTATGGGTCCTATGTATTACTTTATGTAAAAGTAAATCATTTATTATTTATTTTTAGATTAATTTAAGAATTTTATCTAGTTATCTGTGTTTTACTTTTAGTTTAATTATATTCTATAAAATATAATTTCAGTGTTCTGAATCTTGTGGAAAGGGCTTACAGAAACGTAAAGTTACATGTCACCAACTGAATCACTATGGATGGATGAATCCCAATAGTGTCACTCAACCTTCTAAACATGGAGATCCATGGTGTGATTTAAAAAGCCGTCCAACAGATGTTAAAGCATGCAATCTAGGAAGATGTGATAGTAATACATATTGGAGGGTTGGATTATGGAATGAAGTAAGAATAAATCAAATAGATCAATCATTTCTAAAATACATTCAAGCAAAATTAGATAATTTTAAATTAAATCCATAAAAATAGTGTTCACATGAATGTGGAAAAGGAAAACAAAAAAGAAAAGTGCAGTGTATAAATTCACATGGAAAACGAATTCCCCAAAGGAGATGTGAAATGTCATTAAAACCAAAGCGAAGAAGAAATTGCAATAAACAACCATGTATGTGCTAAATTTATCTGTAACAAAAATTAGTCATATTTAAAATATAAAATTTAATTTATAAAATTATTAGGTACACCCACTAGTTGTAGTGATTTGCAAAGAAGAAATATTAGGGAAGATGGAGAATATCAAATACAAGTGAGAGGTCGTTCTGTGAGAGTTTATTGTTCTGGAATGAATACAAGTAGTCCACGAGAATATATCACCCTTATTAGTGGAGAAGGTGATAATTACTCAGAAATTTATGATAAAAGGTAAAGTATTTAACAATGATCTAACTAATAAAAAATAAATTTGTTTTATCTTTTGTTCACTATTTAAACTTGTAAAATGAAATGACTTAACATAATCAAAAGAAATAATCATGCAGACTCTCTTCATTTTACTATTGAGATCTGATTTGCATTTTTATTATGTTCAGGTTAGTGAAACCAGAAACATGTCCTCACAATGGTATGCGTCAGGATAATTGTGAATGCATAAATGATGACCGAGCTGGAGCAGGACTTTCTACATTTTTTCGAATTGGAATAAATATCACTTCATTGCAAATTATGAGTAAGAACTTTAAAAATTATCAAATATATATATTGGCAATTTTCAAAAATTTACAATTTTAAATTTAAATTTTTAGCTCACGATTTTACCTTCAGCCAAACGCATCATGGACATCAGGTACCCTATGGAGAATCTGGTGATTGTTACAGTATGAGACATTGTCCTCAGGGCAGATTTTCTATTAATTTAATGGGAACAGGATTTATAGTTTCTCCAAAGACAAGATGGGTAAAGCAAGGTAATCGACCAGCTTCCAAGATTCAAAAATTAGAGGTGATTAATATTAAGAAATCTGTACAAAATAAAAATATAATTAAAATTTATTTAAAATTAATATAAAATGTTTCAAAAATCAATAGAATGGACAAGTGGTTCAGGGAAAGTGTGGAGGATATTGTGGGAAATGTGGACCAGATTCCAATATAGGATTATTATTGGATGTTGCTCCTCCTTGACTCTGGTAATTATTTGATTTACATTTTATTTTGCATTATTTGACTATAGAATAATTGCTTAATTTTTTTTTTTTTTTCAGATTCATTTTAGGATCCAACAGTATATATATACATATATATATATATATAGTTCATTGAACTGAAAATCAGCATTTTGTTGTTCCATCTATGATCAGTCCATTTTTTTCAATGTGTTTGTATCTATATATATTTAAAACACACAGCATTGTGTTCATCCATACTGTCAGCTGACTGACACATTCTCGAAGCACAACTAGATCTGAAAGAAATATGCTGTTGTAAACAGCATCTTAAATGAAAGACAGTCAACAAGATGCACCAAGACAACAAAAGATACTGGTTTCTAATATCTATCTTAATATTGGCATCCTAGAACACTTTAAAATTATCATAGAAATATTGTAGGCTGTAAATAATATCTGGTTCTATAATCAATAGTCACGAATCTCATACCAAAGACAATAATACTTCCTCTGAAGCTTTTCAGTGCCGACTTATTAACAGACTGGATCTATACTATGTTAACTCTAATTTAATAGATTGGTGCTAAAAAAAAACCAAACAATTATTTGCCTGATATTGTTATAGATTATTAATATTTGTTATGAATGCAAAAATTGAAATGACCAGTATTACACCAAGAGTCTGTTAAATAACTACCTCTGGATGCCTGATTTGTTTATAAATATTAATTGCCATGAATCAGAAGATCTGCCTTATATTTATTTGTATGCTGTAAAATTACTTTTTGCATCTCTCAATTATATTCATTCTTTTGTACACTGCCATTTTTGTTTAGATTGTTCATCTATAAAAATCAAAGTCCTCGAGAGGCAGCTATCAATCAGAATACAGTGACGTCCACTCGACGAGCTCAAAAACACACTGCAGAGCAATATCAGCTGAATGGATGTCTTAAAAGATATATTTTTATTGTTTACCATTGTTGTCTCGTGCTTCAATGTGTGCTTTGTCATTTTGGAACATTGCTGATCACTGCCACTATTCGACAAGGGGAACTAACAGATGTCACATAAATCATGGGGAAGTTAAAAATTGGATTAACAAATTAAGCAGATTTGGTATTTAAAGAAATAGTACTTTTTTATGCTTTTAAATAAGATGACTAACTATCTGTAAAAGCAATGTAAAAACTATATAGTTTTTCATTTGTAAATATTATGTACAAAGCCTTGTGACTTAAACTACTATGTATTTATAATCTATGGACCAACTAAACTTTCTTACCCCTACTGTAGGGGCTTGTTATTGCTTATTTGTGCTTCTTTTTTTTTGTAAAGAAAACATAACTTTTTTTATTTTTAAACAGTAAAAGTGTGCAGTTAAATTAATTTAACTGTTTAAAAAAATACATATATATCAAAATATATGCTTTTATGCATTAAGTCTTAGTTAAAAATAGAATTAGTGTCTGTTTCTATATCAATGGAATCTTTTAATATTACAAATATATCTGTAAATTTGAAGAATTTGAGTTTTGTGAACTTTCTGAATCAAATAATTTATATGTTCCTTTCTTCCACACATCATGTACTGTACTTTAAAGATATATATATTTATATGGAAACAATGTTTCACATGCATGAAGAAAACATTTTTAATATAGAAATTTGCATTTTAATACTATTATTGAAAGATTGTTTTAGTTAAGGTACTGTGCATAGTAAAAATTATGTTGAATTTCAAAAATAATACTTACAGAAATCAAACAAAACAGGAATTATTTGTACAAGTATTTTATTGAATATCATTTTATAAAAACAAAATATTGTATGCACACTGAAACATATAGCTTACAATGGAGTATTATATTTCAGCCATTTAATGAAATTTCCCATTTCACCCTCCTGGTTGATATTTGAGGCTGAATATTGATTGTACAAAGTACAAATACTATTTAGCCTTAAATATAGAAAAAAGAATACTGTTGGTAGTATAAAAGATAATATTAGAAGCATATTTGAGCATAAAATTTTGTTGATCAATGACCAATGATGATTTCTGATGATTTTATGCTTCCACAGGATTATTTCTTTGAAAAGCTCCAAACATCAATCCCACTGATTGAAACAAGGGATCTAGTACACCACGTATTATTACACTCCACACCTAAGACAGATAAATTGGAAAAAATTTAGTTTCAAAATATAATATTTTTATTTAAAAATTGTTAAATTATCAAATTTTAAATACAGTGGTACATCATTACAAGAACAATTTCGGTATTTGAATGCATATTTGGAAAAATTTGCTTGGTACTTGGAGCTTAAAACCACATTTGACATATTTGAAGTTAGGTGCATCTTTCTCATTATGATTTTTTTTTTATTGTTTATATGGCATTATATCTTTTACAAAACTCATAAAGCATAATATGACGGATATGCATTTTATCAGCAGACATTTTGACTTTATTTTATTCAAACAAAATGCAAAAAGTTTAAGATAAACTTCTAAACAAATAATAGAATCTGGTACTAGCAAATGATGCGTTAAATTAGCAACTGTTAAAATTAAATTACACATTTGAGCTAAGTAACGACAGCTATTAAAAATATGCAAAAACTTCCCGTTTAATCCAGTAAAATTAATATTTTTTTTGTATTTTTTTTAATGATTTCTGCATGCTAGGTTTGTAGAATTCTTGTTAAAATGCTTTGTAAGTGTGTTTTTCTGGGTGGGGTCTGGAATAGATTAATCTAATTTATATTATTGTTTATGGGAAAAATTCATTCGATACTCGAACAGCCTTCTGGAATGAATTAAGTTCGAGTACCAAGGTAACACTGTATATGCACTGTTGTTTATAACTGATTTCATGCAATCATTATTTTGAAAAGTAAATTTCTATAGACCTACACTATTCACTTTATCATCCTATAAGAACATTTAATGCTATAAATTATCAATATATTAATAAATATAATTTATGGTATTGTTATTCAGTCAAGAACATTAATAATTATATGAAACTTAAACTGTGGAGAATTTTAGTATATTTACATTCTGTAAATTCAAAAAAAGTGATTTATATGTGCAGGTTTTGGTTAAACTTCAGCACTTCAGTACACTTTTAAAATAATTATTCCATAGTAAGTTAATGTTTAAAGATAGGCATCTGCAGAAAAGTTACCAGGGAGAGAAAAAGCTTGGAGACAAATAATTATATCAAAAATCTTTGATTGTTTAATTTTGTTTAAAGATATGATAAATTCATTTCATTGCACAATATGCAATACTAGAATATGTTTCTGGGAAATGTTGATTTTTTTATTTTGTGTTCACAAGCCTATTGTTTGGAATCACTATTGTTATTTTTTTAATAACTAAATGCCATGTTAAGAATTTAGTGTTCATTTATATTTCAAATACTACAGAATAAATTCAATGTACCTTAAATGTTCAGATAAATTGCCTTGCTGAAAATTAACATAAATTATAACAATAATATGATGCTAGCTTATTAATTTTAATTTATTCAATTATGAACACTGTTATTTTAATTCTTGTGCTTTGAAATATTTCTAGAATGTTAAAGGAATGATAGAGTATAAAAATTAGGCATTGTCAGGTCAGGAATGAGTTTAATTTTTTTTAGTGTTTCATTTTATGTAGGAAATTTATTACAATTCTGTTTATAAAGGGCTGTTTTTGGCTTATTAAAGCATTAATTTAAAAAAAAAAAAATTATCATAAATCTTTGGTATTTCTCCCTGAAAATCAATACAAAAAAACTGAAATTAAAAAAATAGTTGTATGTGGAATTAAAATCATGCTGTATTAGTATCAAATTATAATTTTTGTTTTTGTAATTTAAATATATTTACCTTTCTGACTGGGAAGAAGACCAGTTCAAGAACTTGGAGCATTGGTGTAATTAACCAAACGTGGATTAAAGTTAATATCGAAAAGATGAGACCCCAGACCAGAGCGAAGGGGATGCTTATCAATGCAGTCAACACTCGATATACCCAATGCTTTGTTCCTGTGAAGACGATATAAGATGATTTCCAGCTTCCATTAAAACTGTGAGCTGCATCGCTCTCGGCCAAGACGTCTTCAAACACCAACTATTAAAATTATATGTTATTTTAGCATACAAAACAGACAATTCCGGTTGAAGTGAATCAATTTAGAAGTGCGTTTAAGTTTCAGTGCTTTTCAGTTTTTTATCAAAGGTTTCGATTCATTAAATTTTATTCATGCATTTAGTTTAGACCCAAATCGTTAAGTTCTAGTCCATGTGCAATGACTATCGAAGGGAAAATTTCCAGAACTCTGTTCTTGGGATTCAAACTTTAATCTTAAATAACAATATGCAATAAAATACAAAAAGCAATATTCATACCGTACTGAAAAACGCTAAAATATGTGCATAATTTACGTTTATGTATTCGAATTTTATTGCCGGATACAGCAATTTATCTATACAAATTACATTGCTGAAGAAGGGATTATAAAAAAACGGATTTAAATATGCAAAAATGCAAATATTTTATAATTTAAAGAAACTTCCCTAGCGGCTCTGTTTCTCTAGTAATATAAAGAAACGAAACGTTTGTATAAACTTTGCAAGTGATTTCTAACCAAAACCAGTTGTGTAAAAGCCGTCTTCAATTTAAAATTGTTGCAAACCGTTTAAATTAACCGCACCATACTTAAATCGTATTCTAAGCACATAAAAATGATGTAGTTCTAACATTGCACAAAGGAAAAGATTCTACAACATTTGAAACCCATCTGAAAGGTGTTTTTATCCCATCAAAATGCTTTAATCTGGGTGGAGAGATCACGGGAAGAAACATCAAAAGAACTTGTATAGTATTATTTAACAAGGAATCCTGTCGGAGCTTTTACTTCATTCTTCTTCAAGTTGGCCTTTTGAATGGAAGTTGTTTGTCTGCAAACCAGCCTAGCCTCTAGTCTTGATTAGAAACCGTGATAGAAGGGAGTTACAAGCCATGGTATGCGATCTCAGCCCCGAGGGACGATCATTCAATATGACTCAACCAACAACATGAGTCATCTTTCTTAGATTTGGGTCATGTCTGGAGCTAATAGAAAAATTGCTTATTTTTTATATATATATATCTGGGGGCTAAATATCTTCCGGACGAAAGGAGGTTGAAGACAGGTTTTCTTCTACAGAGGGTCGTTCCAGGATGACGAATATCGTTCTCTTGAATTATTCATGGACTCGAGAAGAAATCGATTCTGTATTACAACCCTATACAGCATAATATATTTTTTTTTAAGCTATATAATTGAAGAGTTAAGAGAATTAAAATTCTTTTGGATTATTTACGACGACAAAATATGATGGATCAATCCTAATAACTAATTTTGCTTTGTGCGACAATAGCGCAAATTTGCGATGATATCTTATTTTTATAGCGCGCAATTTCTATAGTAGGAAGAAACAATATTACAATATTGTTCTTCAGATATAGATCGAATTGTGCAGCTTCGTCGATATTAAGACAATAGGCAAAATGCAATCGTTAACAAAGGATAAAATACATGCTTCCTATCTTTATTCGATCTGGCATGTTCTATTTTTATATAATTCCAGTTAGGAGCTTTTCCCAACACGTTTCTAATCCTGTTTTCGGGACCTAAACGCCTTTGCAACACTCACGAAAAGCAAGAGATTTAAAAGATTTACTCTCCCCACACTTCAGAAATTTCAAAATATATTCTTTTTATCTTTTTATTTTTCCAAGAAAGATTAGAAAGATCTTTAAGAAGTTACCTTACTTCAAGCAATTAAACTGCTTTTTTTAAATCTCACTTTCCAAGAAGACCCCTTCTACCGATCAAAGGGCCTCCCTACTCTTAAGCGATGCTCTTGAATTTTTTAAAATAAATTTCAGGATACACTTATGTCTTGTGATTTAAATAAATATATTGTTTATTTATATTCTAAGCTTATAAAATTGAAGAAAATTCTTCTATTCACCAAGAAACAAATGAAAAAATATTACATTTTTTGACTTCAAAAGTGAATCACCTTATAGCTGCTTATCAAGCCCGATATCTTCCATACTTTTAAGGCTTCATACATATCTCAGATAACAATTTCCCTCTTTTATCGAGACTTTTAATCTAATATTTTTTTCGACTCTCTTCCTGCTCGGAATATAATTAAGCGCCTCTATTATCCTTTCTTTTTTTTATTTTTTGATGGAGTTTTTCTACATTTAACAAGCAAAATTCCTAATTAAGACAGCATAGACTTTGTTATATACGAAAGCTCCTTGCAAAATTTGGAAAAACGGTTGATATTAAAAGAAGGAAAGTATAAATTAGGAGGGCGACATGGCTTCGTTCCCGCAACATTTCCCACTGTTCGACGGAAATTAATTATAGAGAAAATGATAAATGGCACAACTGTGACGTCTAATCTTCATTTAGTTAGAGTGCAATTAAGAAGATTCTTTACAAATTTAGTATGTAGGGTAGGGGGTTTCCGCTAGCTAATATCTCCTTGATTTAGATACACGTTTTTAAATTATTCGGCTTGGAAGTTTGGGTAAAATTTATAGAAATCGCCAGCCCTTCCTTTGGCAACGATGAGATTCATGCTTATTTACATATGCAGAAACATGAGACGACCTCTGTGGTTGCTACAAAATGCCAACAATTCAACACACGCGTCACTTATTAGCAATTAGCAGAGCGTCGCAAATATCGCGATAACCGAATGACCTCATTCTTGACAAGAGCTATGGACAAGCGCTAATGCTTCAACTTACATTAACATGGTCGTTGACTCTTTTTTCGTCTCGATCTAGCAAATTAAGGCCAGCTGTCATGGTCTCTGCGCAAGAAATGCTCCTCTTGTGTGATTTTTCCTTTCTTATTTTCTTCTCTCCATCCATCTCTTTGCCATCCACTTGTCCTGTTTCATCTTCACTCTTGTCTTTGGGTTCCTCTTTCTCCACAGACTTCAATTCGATGTCTTTTTCCTTACCTTCAACGCACTCCGAATCCTCCAGAAGAGGAAGAGTGGATTCGTTTAGCTTCGTTTTGGATTCCGATCTCTTTTCTTTGATGTCTTCCATGGCTGAAAAACAAAATAAATGAGTCGAGCAGGCGAACACACCTCTTATTAAGATCGTTTAACAGAGGACAATTTGATTCGATTCATTTAATAGAGAGATAAAGAATAAGAAACTTGAAGTCACAATAGACTGGGCGCCACCGGACACTCGTTGAAAAATCAACAAAGCGCCAGTTGTAGTTTCCTCCCGGGGTTCTGTTCAGTTATGGACCTACGATATGTGTTGAATTACACGTATACACACAGCATTGTGCGGTTTGATGCTAATTAAGATGGTTAAAGATAATAAGGGGGAGCTTATGTTGATAAAAGTCAGTCACCCTCTAACTTAAGAATAGTTTAACTAATTAATGGAGACGGGCAGGTGCGTGGTTTAATTCGTGCGTCAAATTGTTGATTTCTATAGCCGACATTATGATTTCCATCAACAATATATAAGGGATAAATAAAGATGTATCACGCTGTTGATCTGTTATACTAGTCACGTGCATGAAAATAAATAAAGATCCCTATCGAAAGTTTAATCTCTTTATTCCTTATATTTTGTGATATTATCTTGATCGGAAATGTAACTAAAATGATGAATTAGGAGATTAGTTCTTACAATTTTGAGGAGTAAAGATTTTTTAAAATCATTTTCAACTATACTGTTTGCTCCGTAATGCCTTCCACAGTCCAAGCAATGGATTAATTATTAAAATTTTATATTTAAACTGGCAACTATAAAAATATCTGACACATAGAAGTGTGAAATATGACCATAAAAACAACTGGCATAAAAAGTGGCTAGCGGCATTTTAAAGTGGGATACATCACATCTGGAATAGAGAAGAGGTTCAAAAACTCTTATCATAAACAAATCAGAAGATTAGGCAGTGTTTACGATGTATCAAAGTAATTCTAGCTATGCTTAACACATAGAAAAAAAATCAAATTTACTTCTTTATCAGTCAGAAATATCAGATTATCCTGGTGGCTTTGTAAGAGAGTTGGGAATGTGCTTTAGTGTATGAAACCTAACTCTATGTATGACAGCTGCTTTCAATACTAAACAGTAGCTGGAAAACAGAGAACAAAAAACAATGTAAGAAATAGCTTCCCCCTATCTACAGAATGTGCTCGGATTTCTTGTGCACATTCTTCCTTTCGTCATTGGAGGTTAGAGCGAGAACCAAACGTTACTTAAGCCCTTTAGAATGCGAAATATTCGCAAGAACACCACACTCTTCAAATTGCATAACTGTTGATCATAACTTATAAATCGAATGATTGATCGAGTGCGATCTTAAGAAGTTATTTAATGACGTATCAGTATACAATAAATAAATAAAAAAATTCACATTTTTAAAACTATGCGACCTTTAACGAGTCACGTGTCGCGAGCGAAAGTAACACACTTAACCAAGTTTATAGAGGAAGTTAAGAGATACAAAAGTTTTAAATGTGAAAAGACAGGAAGTAACCGGTGTAATGACCAAGAAACTCGAATATGACGCAGAAATTTAATTACTTCAATGCCTGTTAGGGTGCAAACAAGTGGTTGACCATGCATACACGTCACCAACCACATGCTCTACTACTTTTTTGCATCCTTCTACAGAGAAAGATATCATTAGCGGTTTGAAAGAATCATCTCTCTCACGAAGATACTGTTACGTGTAAAGTATCTATCACTCTACACTGCGATTTTCCCGATCGCCATTACTTAAAATGCGAATTCATAGGAAGGCGCACTCGTTGAAAACTTCACGTGATTGAAGAGCATCACGTCGAGGATACTCAATTGTACAGATACGAGAACCAGATAGCTTAAAACACTTAAGGAAACGCCCACGATTCTTGTTGTGTGCTAAATATAGTGATGCTGTACTCTAAACTGATAGTTATTTCGTGATTTGATAAGGATACGTGCAAGGCCACGTTTAAGAATTGCGCTGTTAATTCCTAGCAGTGATGCGTGAGTTTAAATGTAGGCAGGCTTGTGAACTGACTCTATTTTTTCTTTTTTTTTCTTTTTTTTCTTTCTTTCAAACACAGGTTCATTACGTACGGTCACGCGATTAAACAGAGCCGTATCAATTAACAATATTGATAAACAGTTTCTGAAGCAATCGGGTGATTTGGATTCGCTATTGTGTTTCTTACCCGCTTTTTCCCCCCTTCCTCCCCGGCCTGACCCTTTTTTTCTCGCGTGATTTGGAGCATTGTTTCGCTGCTTGCAGTCACGTGATGTTTAACGGATGCACAAATGATTTTTTACGGTTTTATGGGAGTTTTTAAAGTTTACTAGTTTATCTGGCATGGGAAAATTTTCTTCAAAAACTGTATATTTATATAATTATCCATTGACGAGTCACGCGATATTTATTGTACGTTCGTAGCTTTTCTACGTATTCTATTATTCTGATAATCGACCAAATTAATATGCGTACGCATATAAATAATATTTAGTAACGCATTGTTAGTAGCGCTTAGAATAACCTTAACAAAAATTGAAAGTCACGTGATAACATGTCCGAAATGCACTGAAGCTAAACACCTGAAGATGTCATCGCGCGATTAATCAAATAAATCGAATAGGTTCTTGGATCACGTGACGAATTCGACTCTTCTGATTTGCATGGGTCGAATTCGTCACGTGATTTTTCTAAGTTGCGTTCGAAGTAACAATTTACACGCATACAAGAGAATTTCGTGGATTATGCGAAGGTTTTTTAAGAGAGTAATTCGCGGGTGCTTCTTGGGGGTTTTTTTTTAAAGTATAAAAAAAAATAAACGAGAAAATCACGTGAACTAACGCTCTAAAAATACAAAAACCTACCGAAAATAAATTTTAGCGCGAAAAACTAATAAACAAAATCGAGTTATTTAAGGCCATTCCCGGTAATTAGTGCGAGTGGAATTTTTCTGAAAGAATAACTAACAAATTTATCTGTCCTTTAAAGATGTGCAAAGACTAATACCAGGTGTGAGTATTTGCAAAGTATTCGCGTGCTGCTGAAAGGATACTATTTTTGTCTCGTTTCCTCTGTAAGAGCCATGTTTATTTGTAGTCGAGACGTTCGATGAAAAGCCAAATAAATAAAATATAATTAAAGCAGATGTGCTTATCGGCAACCTCTTTTCTTAGCTCCTTGAATCTTGTACTGCATCATTAAATTCGGTACACGTGATCGACTCTCATAACGGAACCACTCCCGAATCGTTCGTTCGGTTGTGCTGGGAAACGGTTACAAAGTATTTCTTTCAGAGCAGAGTTTTTCTTCCTGAAATAAGTGAAACAGTAGAAGAAACCACATAGCCGATAATGGTAGTCACTCAGTTGAATGGGGGGAATTTTCAGACACGTGGAAAGGGGCCCTTTACGGGGTTATAACAGTGCGAGAAAGCTTTTCTTAAAGTAACACAGAGGTCTTTTTTAAAGTCTAGCAACATTTTAAAAGTTTTATTTGTTTCTAGTACACGTTTTCATTACGTTTCGGGCATCGATGAGATACGATAATTCGAGATTAATTTGAACATCTGCTACCAAATGAGTTATATCAGCATATTTTACAGATTACTAATCACTTGATTGATTTATTTGAGAGGATAGTCGCGTGGGCTACACAATCTAAAAGATGTGGGATGATATCAAAAGAGTCACGTGAACCGTAGAAGGGAAAAAATCGTAATAATAATAATAATAATAATAATAATAATCTCCTCACCCCGCTGGAGAGTCGATTAGCCGAATTGTACATTCCAAGCAGTTTAACTTAATCCACATTAATTGCCTTAATTGAGGCATTTCTTTATACGATTGGGTGTCTTTACAAGTGTTCATTCTTTCCTATCAAAACTTAAATTACACAATCCTCGAGTACCTTCTTTAAAATGATACTGACACTGCACTCCTTACAGACGTTTCACGTTTCTTCGTATGTTTCCAGAAAGTAACATTTAACTAACACAGAAAACTTCATTGTCCTTAACAATGAGGTCCTCTGTAAGGGGGGGGATAGTTGTCGAGTGTAAGGAGAGAAAGGCCAGAAACGCGCAGTTTAATCCTGAAATGACCTTTATTCAGACAAATGATGAAACGCACATGTCCTCCCGTGCAGACACAAATTTGTTCCGAAAGGGATTATATTTCCTCCCCTAGAAAACTTCTGCTCGGGGGAGAAGTTCAGGGACTTTGCAGAGGTCATTGACAAGTCCGAATGTAACTACGAGTAAATGACTCGATCCGGGTAATAAAACCGTAAAGAGGGAACAGTGAGTGGTTCGCAAGTTACGTTTTTTGCCGGTATCACGTGATTTTTTTTGTTAGTCCACCCGGTTCTCGTGCGACACGCATTACACACCAAGCGATGCGAACCGTTGGAGTAGCGAGAGGTAACTACTTTTGTAAAAATGAGGGAAGGCGTGGCGCTTCCAAGATCGCAGGACTCCCGAAAATAGCTTCTGTCCGCAACAATGAGATTCGACTTCCAAAGGGAGTTTTACACACCACAATTGCTTAAAATTACGTGACAGGAGCAGTATTTCGGGCGTGGCATTCGCGACCCCTTGTACGGTTTGAGGCCTTCTGTTACACGGCCCATCACCCTCGGGGGTTTGAAGCGGAAACTAAATACTAAATTAAAAAAAAAACACGCACTCAAGATAGCATTAGAAAATTTTGAAGGAAAATCAAAATTAATTTTAAAATAGCAATTTTTAATAAGTGTAAAATAGAAAAAAATATATAACTTACCTCAACGATTCAAACAGAAAGTTAAACTGACGCTTAGCAAGCCACAAACAGTCACCAAGCCAACCACAGCCAATAGATGAGCTTGTGTCTGCAATCCCGCTTATTGCACTAGAAGACCCCACCAATCCTCTCTCCTATTGGCTAAAGTAGCAATTGACGGGACGTGAGAAACCTGCTGATGTATGGCAAAAGACTTTCTCACAACTACTTTCTATTATACCATCCTCGGCGGGGGTTCCGAATGGGATAGCTGCAAAGAAGCCCCTTTTCTTGTTTACGCTTTCTCGCTAGAGAAATTTTAGAAAAATATTTCTTCAAAATTCTTCATCTTTTAGCAGAATTTACCACATTAACGCTAAAAATGTTTTCATATTTCCAACATGCAAATGATTACGGAAGTAATAAAATATATTATTCTAATAATAAAATAAATTTTTATTTATAAATTTAAATGGCGGATGTGACGCAATTTTAAATATTTAATTTATAATTTTATATCTTCTTTTTTTAAATTTTAATACTTATTTAAGTAAAAATGTAATATTTATAATTCGATTTCGTGAATTAAACGAATTTTTTTAAAATCCATATTAGCGTCATTTATACTTTAATATAACTGTAATAAGGTTAAAACGTTTAATAAAATAAAATTAATTTTTAATTAATTATTTTATAAATATTAATATAAATATAAAATCTTTAGATAATATATTTTAAGTAAAAATATTTTAAGTTTATTCACTGATTAATATTAAATACTCAGATTAACCCTAATCCGATCATAGACATTTAAAATAATTCAATATATATATTTTTAAAAATAATTACTGTATTTCCTATCGAAAGGGAAATATATTTTATTATTTAATGTAAAGGAAAGTTTGAGATAAAAGTTAGAATTTGTTCATGTTTAAGATCAACGATCTTTTGATTCTTGACATCATGGGAAAGGTCATACTTAGTATACGTCACTCCCCCTTTTTTCACCCTGGAGTTTACTCGAAATGTCACAAATTCTTTTTTATTGTTTCTACAAAATATACAAAACGCGAGGGAGTAAATTTATAATAAACCAACACGAAACCGGATTAAAGTAGAAACCGGTTTGAGCATCCATTGTTCGACTGTTTCCTCCCAGGAGATGTAATAATTATTAATTATTTTATTAATCTTAATGGAATTCAAAGAAGCCTCTTAACTCCATCAAGTGAAAAACTATTTTAGATTTAATAGGGGAGAGATGCGTATAGTAAGACACATCGGACAGTGTACTAATCGCCTCTTGTGTGACGTTCGGGGGTTGTGGTCGATGATGTCACCGGCACTTTACTGCTTTGAACCTCATTTTTTTTTCCACGCCTGAAATTCGCTCTGTGATGTATGGCGAATTAAAACTTTTCAGAATATTTTTTAAATTATTTTTTATAATAATTAATTGAATATAATAACTAGTAAATTTAATTATATTAACTTAATAACAACAGCAATTAAAACATGATCAATTTATAACAGCCTAACAATAAACTAAAATACTATATTACTCATCTAATTAAGACTTAAGGCTTTAAAATTCAATAGAGAAAAAAAAAATATGCAGGAAATAATTTCCAAACACATTCCTAAACTTATTTATAGCATTTAAAATAATTCACATTAATATCAAATCAAAATAGCATATTTTTTATTATTATTTATAACTTAAAAAAAAAACAGATCATAAAACTGTATTCTCAAGTATCAACCTGGCTTTACATACCATAATTAATGAATTGCAGTGCTAGAGTTTATCCAGATGGGCCAATTAAGTTGTGGAATGAAGTAAATGAACTTTAGAATGAGTTAATTATATTTAAGCATTTGCCATAAGTGCTATTGTAACAGCCTTGGAGTTAATGATCTGTTAAAGATTTTAACATTTTTACAAAACCTCAGTTTACTTTATAAATTATTAAAATATATTTAACCTTACAAGATTGGATTACTTCTTATAAGTTATATACATTTTTGTTTCATTGTAGATGCCTGAAGATATGTCAGATTAGATGATACCTGTTGAAAAATCATTCTATCACTAGCCACGGGCAAGGTATGTTAAGACATATTATATTTAACATGTAAACATATTCAGGAGAAATAATAAATAAAAATTAAAAAAAAACATTGATAGATTGTTGTATGTAAATTGTGAATTTCAAGTACTTAAGTATTAAATTTCTTCCCAAGTGAAAAATAACATGTTTAGGCCAGTGTGATGATTACAATTTTGTAATTGCGTATAGAAAATACAAATTTTTATAACTGTTTAACTCGTAAAACAATTTACGGATACAAATTTCAGTTCAACAGGATAATAAATAGGTTAGTCAACTGTTTGACAGTAGCCTTTACATTAGGGCGTTTGTATAATTTGTAAATAAAGTAGAGTAGTGTTTGCACAGCCGTAAAGCGTATCGAATACGTCTTGTTTATCCAATTTTGTTTATACAGAAGGAATGAAATTTAAGCAATTAAAACATTATGATATAAACAAATATCGGAAAAGAAAAAAAAACTTGTTTAAAATAGTTTAGTTCGGTTTCTTGTATGCTTAACATAAGTAGGTCTTTGCATATATGCTAATGTTATAACATAGTAGCCCTATTTAAAATAAGGCAAATTGTATACTACTGCAATTGACAGATATGTGTTGAAATATCCTGACACGATTAATGAATGAAAGTGTCAAAGAAGAGGACGAAATGTGAATAAGAAGCTAAATACAGGATGAATGGCGATTTTTTCTGTTAATTAATAGACGTTTTCGAGGAACTGAAGCTTGTTTCGTTTTATTTATAACTTAAGGTTTATTCAGTTAAGGATTTAAAGATGCGAAGGAGGACATTTTATAAGTACAGAATCCGTATTAAACGTACTTTGAGCGACGTATTTAATTAAATAACTCGTTTCTTCAAGTAAATCAGATTTAATATATACAGTTCTTTGAACTGATTCTATCAAACCGAAGTTTTTTTTTCCCATTAAAATTACATTATAACAAGTCGACTTCGCCCTAAAATATAAAATACGCACACAAAGCACTGTATGTTTTTGTTTTCCTTTACATTTAATAGTTTTATTTTAATTAAAAAAAATTTGGGCAAAATTTTAATTAAATGGAAATCCATTTATAACGAGTTTACATTATTAAGTACTGTCAATTATAATACATAAAATATTAAATCTCACTTTGACATCAATGGGAGTCTAAATGCTGCATGTTTATATTTAATTTTAAACAAAATTAATTATCATTTATTCAACATATAATGTTTTTATGATAAAAATAAAATATTTTAAATTTAATTTCATATTCATGAATATTAAAGCTGTTTTTTTATGTACTTTTATACACTATATACTAATTATAGTTGAATATATTGTTAAAATTTGTCAGAAATTAAAAGGCATTTAATTTTTTATAATGTTAATGATGATGAATATATGCAGGCCCTTTATAATTAAGAAATGCCTAGAATGATAAAAGGAAATTAAGATTTAATAATAAACTGGGACTGGAATGCAGTGGTTAAGGAAGGACAGGAAGAAGTGTAGGAAAATGTAAATTAGGAAAAAGATCTGAGAGAAGATAGCGATTAGTGGAATTTTCGGAGCATGCTTTGGTTATATATAATAGAATTTTTTTAAAAAGAACACAAAGAGAAGACATGCAAAGCAAAGAAGATAAAAGTAAAACAAAGCAAAAGCTAAGTTAGTATAGTTATTATGGCAATTATTATAGTATACAGACAATAATTATCGATGTTTGCGCCAACAGGATAGAATGGATAGAAAAAAAAATACTGGCAAATATTATAAAATTTTAAATCTAATTATTTAAATAAAGTGGATGTTTTGGAAGAATCAGATATTTTAATCTATAAAAAATTGGTTTATAAAAGTATATAGTCAAAGTAATGTTAATATTCTACATCTGTATACTGACGAGTTCATCAAGGTTGAACTCACAATGCATTTTGAGATGATTTATAGATGTAACAAGACTCTTCTTGTGAACTTTGTCATGCTGTATAAACTTCTGATTTTATGGATAATTTTTAATCCTATATTTATGAATTCAGATTTTATCGTATAAAAAACAGAAGAGAGTTCAAATATCAAATGTTTTCCTGTTTTATGTAAAGAGAACACCTCATTTTTCCGAATGAATAAATGTGTAACTTAACACAATACAGTAGAATCCGCTTATTGTAATCACTTTAACATTTGTCTGTGCTAATTTTATTAACTGAATAGATAAGCCTACAGTTTACTGGAAATTCTAATTTTATTGACTCTGACAGTAAAAGGAAACGTTAAAACAATTAAAAATATATTTAACTTAAAGATTTCTTAATTAATTAATAACTTAATAATTCCTCCAGTGCTGCTTGCACTCTGTTTTTACATTACTCTGTTTATCTAATAGCTAGAGTATTATAGAGTAAGAAATGCCAGCAATTTAGATTACTATACTGTGAGAAAATAACGATTAAAATGATTTAGCATCGGTTAAGACTGATAACTGATTATATTATCAGACATATAATGAAGCAGAGAGCGCGAAAAAACTTTTTTTTCATATTTATCTGAAGATAATGATAACTGTACCCGAAACTCTGCTTATAATAAACGAAGTTTTATCAGTATTATGTCAGTTAGTTAGCAATGATTAATTCTTGCTAATTCTGATAACAATATCCATGGTTACTATAAGAAGATTCTACTGTATAGCCCCAGCACTTAATTAACATACTATGCCAATGATTCCTTCAGTTTGCAATCTACTTTCCATTAGCTGAGCGCGTAAATGATTGTTGTATAAGTGTAAACCGTGAATTAGTAGTTGAGATTGAACTATCTCTATGAAAGAAGCGACTTGTAGGCCTATATATTAATCGTATTGAAAATAAGTAACGTTCTATTTTCTGATTTTCAAATATACTCCTCATAAATATTTATATTAAAGCGATTTAAGCTTATGTAGAATAAATTCATCACACTGGTCAGTGAACAATCGAAGATTCTGTTGTTAATTTGGTGCCTTCGCCGCTATACTTATTTCTTAAAACAGGGTGGCTCCAAAAACAAATATTAGGTAGTGATTTAACGTAACAAAATTGAAAATAATGATAAAAACATTAATATTCATGCATATTATTTTAAAAAAATAATAATGAAGCACGTG